ACATTGCGTTTCAATATCATCGATTTCGATAGCAGCCAGATGTTGGCACTCAATCGATTAATTATGAAACTTGTTCGTATTTAGGTATTTAAAATAATTAATAAATGTTGTTTCTAGAAAAATTACATTACGCCATATCTTGGCCGAAAAACGCTTGGAGCATATACCCTTTGTAACACTTTTCGTTTTATAACCATTTGTTTTTTTTTGTATTGTTTTTTGTTCATGGTAATAATCTCTTTTGTGTTTTTTTTTTGTTGTCTTGTACGTGACTGCAGTCCCCAAAATCTGTGATGTCTTACTACCACTCCGCATGACGTCATACCCCCACCTCCGAAGAATCCCCGCGCTCCGTTTCCCCTCGCCTCCGAATATCCCCCGCGCCCCGCGCTCCCCTTGGAGTTCCCGAGTTAGAACTCCCTTAATATCACTACTCACGTGTCGTAGGATAGACTTGATCTCCGATGCCATTGCTTTCTTCCACTCTAGAGCGTTAGAGCTCGATAGTACTTCTTTTAACGAAATTTCGGCAGCGAAAACGAACTCAGGATATTCTGCTAGGTGATAGTCTTTCCGAGGACGTCCGAGTCTGCCAGTTAGGATCCTTTTAGATCGACCGCGTCCTTGTCTCGCTTCGGGACCCGGAGCGTGCTTTCCATTTGCATCATACCCTCTGTCGAGGGTATCATATCCTCGTCGATCGCCTCTACATCTGAATCAGAAATGTCACTAGCAGGTCTCGCGAACTCCCTGATCGGACCAATGATTGCAGTTTCGGGGATGTTCAGTGAGACATCGACAGTCGAATGAGTTTCACGGAGATCAGTGCCTTAATCGTGAGTGAGAAATTCTGTGGGATAGAACTCCTCAGTTAGTTCACTCGATGAAAACGAGGGTCCCGGCCAAGAAACGAATATCCCTAGAGATTTCCACCTTTTTTCTGTCTAGCATCCAGACCCGATTTCCTTGGAATGTTGAGCGTAGCCCAGGAAGATTCCCTCTCTTGATCGAGAATCAAACTTATCCTTATTTGCTGACATATCCAAGTAGAGAACCTTGTAGCCGAAGCTATGAAGGTGTTGAGCATCAGGTGGTTGGCTGTGCCACATTCGTATGGTGTCTTTCCTTGGAGGCTCCTCGATGGGCAGCTGTTTCTGACATAGTTGGCTGTGGCTAATGCCTCAGCCAAGAACAATGCAGGAAGTCCTGATTGAATGAGAAGACTCGGGCTGTTTCCACTAATGCCCTGTTTCTTCTCTCCGCGATCCCGTTTTGTTGAGGATTGCCGGCAACCGTGAGTCGTCTCTCAATTCCGTTTTTCATCAAAAAGTCGTTGAAATCGGCGTTGACGTATTCGGTGTCATTATCCGACTGCAAATATTTAATCCTCTTTTCCTTTTGTTTCTCCACCAGAAGTTTGAATTCCTCGAACTCCTTGAGTGCATCGTCCTTTTACTTGAGGAAGTGAATCTCGCACCACCTGGAATGATCGTCAATAAATGTGTAATGAAATACCTAACCTTACCATTTAATTGAATTCGCATGGGTCCGCATAGGTCGGTATGAACGATCTCCAGCATCGGATTCCTTGGGAAAGAACTTCCGAGTCATTTTACCGCGAAAACATATCTTGCAGTTAAAATTTTTGATCTCTCCGTCGAGATTGATGCCCTTAATGATTCCTCTTTTAAGTCCATGAAGTTCAGGTGGCCGAGTCGTCGATGCCAATATTCAAGAGCTTTCGTGTCCGCGACGCTTTGATGACTTCAGTGGTTGCTCTATATTCGTGGTCATTGCTGCAATTTACGTAATGGAGACCACTGCCGTAAGTTCGCTCTGCCGTAAGTTTCGTACGTCCTTTCTTGTCAATTACCGCCGCGGAGTCTCTGGTGAAGACTACCTGGTAGCCGTTGTCTGTGATTCTTCCGACTGACAATAGGTCAGTTCGTAGATCCGGTACATATAGGACGTTCTTTAATTTAACGCGAAGTTCTTGTCCACCTACTTTGGTAGTAATGGGGACTGATCCGCTTGCATATATTTGCAGTCATTATATTTGCAGATGCATTAGTCGCCAAATTCAGGACTCCGGATTCTCTGTCGTTTATTTCGACGAAATCTTCTAGATTCTTGCTTAAGTGAGACGAGCATCCACTGTCCAGGCACCACTTGACTACTTCTGTCATTAAGATTGATGCCTTATGAAGCCAAATACAGGGTGTCAATGTGTAATAATTTTTTATTTGTTCCAAAGTTTTTGTACAAACGTTTCGATCCCGTTTCGGAACCTTTTCAATGCTATTGTACGAATTCATCGAGTTTCCTGACGCACTATATCGTAAACATTTTCTTATTAATCTCACGAATTATAATTGAAAGCTTACAATAAGATAAATAATATAAATAATATAATAGATAAATTTACACAGTTCAAACAAAGAATAAAGTTACATGATATTCGTTATGCTAATATAATGCGTGTCATCTATATCAGCTTTGAGATACATCTAAACAATATAATGTCAAGTACAATTCGAAACTACACGAACGCAAACAACAAAAACATTAAAGAGAGGAAACCTCAGTTATTATCAAATAGGAAATCATATGCCTTAGTTAACGAATCTGTGTCTGATTGGATATTTAAGCCGTTTTTTTGTTTACGTATGAAAATCATTTCTGATATTAGTCTTTTACTTAAAATTTGTTCCTGATCTAAAATCTTAACACTGTCCCAGTCAAAATCATGTGTATGTTCTAATCTATGTTCTGTGATGACCGATTTTTGGTCTGTATTTCTATTGATGTGGTTTCTATGTTCACTAATTCTGGTTTTAAGAGTCCTTCCTGTTTGACCGACATATGAAGCGTCACAGTCTCTGCACTCCATCTTATAAACAACATCAGTGTGGAACATAAAATGTGGAAGTTTGTCTTTCTGCACTCTAATGTAGTTGCTCAATTTGTTAATACCCTTGTAAGCTATTTTGATGATGTTAGTCTTCTTTAAAAAGTTTTTGATTCTCTCTGAAATACCCGCTATAAAAGGCACCGTGAAGAAGATTTGTTTCTTTTCTACTTTTTTATTATTAACTATTTGATTGTTCTGATTAGAAAATTTCTTGTGTAACCTTTTATTTATGGTGGAGAAAATCAAATTCAAGGGATAGCCATTGTTCAGTAATATTCTGATTATTTTATCTAAGTTTTTCGTATAAAAGGAAGGGTGTGACAATAATAAAACTCTATCTGTTAAGCTCACTATTACTCCAATTTTCTGGCAAAATGGATGTTGCGAAAAAAAAATTGAGATAACGTCCTGATGACGTAGGTTTCTGATACCAGTCATGATATATGGAGTCATTTTTCTTTATAAGAGTTAGGTCCAAAAAATTGAGTTTGTCACCACCTTCCTCCAATGTAAATTTGAGCCTTGGATGATAGTTATTGAATGTAAGACAGAGTTCGTTAATGTGTGTTTTGTTAATTGCTAATGCAATGTCGTCTACGTATCGTATGTAAAAAGAAGGTTCTGTTGTCAATCTATTAAAAGTAAATGTTTCTAAGTCCTGTAAAACTATGTCAGCCAATACTGGTAATAAAGGGGAGCCCATGAGAACTCCAAAGGATTGTCTGTAATATTTATCATTAAAGGTAAAAAATGTAGAGTCAAGAATCAATTTAGTTGCATTAAGAACCTCTGTTCTGGATAAGCATGTGTTGGCCTGTATCAAATGCCACCTTTTATTAATACCATCCAATACAAGATCCACTGGGACATTTGTAAACAATGAAACCACATCCAAAGAAAACAGAGTGTCATTAGAAATTTTAAGTTTATCTATATTTTTAGCGAGTTGAAAGCTATTGCTAATAAAACCTTTTGCTGGAGGCAAGCTTGTAACTAAGATTTTATGCAAGAAGGTTGCCAAATTATGCAAAGGACTTCCTATAGATGAAATAATTATCCTTAAAGGATAACCATCTTTATGTACTTTAGGCATTCCATACGCTCTTGGTAAAATTGGGTTTGCAGTGTTAAGATGTCTGTATTTGGACTCACTAATTATCTCCTCTCGTTTCTCCATCTCTTCAAAATATCCTTTAGACTAATTGTTATTCTATTGACCGAGTTACGTTTAATATTTATATAAGTGTCAACGTCTCTGAGCATCGTCTCCATCTTCGCTATGTATTCCGCCTTGTCCATTGCAACCACCACGTTACCTTTATCCGCATGCATAAATAGAATATCCGGATTGTTGTTAATAAATTTTTTTGTTAATAGGTATAAAGACCCAATCTTTTTTTCCATCTGTGTTTTATTTAATGTGATGTTTGTGGTGATTTTAGCATTAGAGGTTATTTGTAGCTGCAAGTTGGTAGGACTGTTTTGACGGTATCGATGAGTCAAGGGCATTTTGTCGATTACTCGGGACTTTGTGGTTAGGTATAAGAATTAATGTACGTTCTGATTTTTGTCTGTTAAAGCGTTTCAATAAAGAGTGATTTTCCAATCGTATCAATTTAACAGAAATCATCAAATCACTGAATAATGGAAAAGTACTTGAAGCCTGAGAGATTTAACGTGGAACCAACCTCTATTTCTGCGGACAAGCAATGGACACATTGGAAACGGACATTCTCAAACTTTTTGAACAACTTTAGAGATGCAACGGGGGAAAATAAGTTACAACTACTAACAAACTACTTGGCCCCGAAAGTATATCAGTATATTAGCGAATCTGGAACATTTGAGAATGCCATCGATACTTTAGAATCATTGTATGTAAAACCTAGAAATGAGATCAATGCTAGGCATTGTTTAGCCACGAGACGGCAACTCGCTGGTGAATCCGTAAACCAGTATCTACAATCTTTAAGACAATTAAGTAAGGATTGCAATTTAAAAAATGTTACTGCTGAGCAGAATAAGAACGAGTATATTAGAGATGCATTTATTAGCGGCTTGAGTTGCCCACACATTCGACAGAGGTTACTTGAGAACACTCACTCTAGATGCTGCTTATGACCAAGCTCGAGCCTTAGAAATGGCTGAGCAATACTCTGCATCGTATTCTGGCCTATCCAGTACAATTGCTGCCTCGACCAAGGAAACTGGTGATCAGGACCCGAAGGCTCTCGAGGCAACTACGGCTGGGGCATTGAAAAGCGGAAAGTGCTATTTCTGTGAGAGAGAAAATCATCCCAGAACGCAGTGTCCAGCGAGAAACGTGGAATGCAGGTCATGTGGAAAAAAAAGGGCATTATCAACGTGTATGTAAGTCACTGCCTCCTAAGGGCTACACCTAATACGACAGCGTCTACTGGCACTCTAGCGTCCCTTACAGCAGAACCTAGCTGTCTTCAAAAATCTATAGTGGACATTAAGGTAAACGGAACAAAGTTAAACGCTCTGATAGACACGGGAAGCTTTCTGAGTTTCATCAATTATTCTCTCATAGGAAGATGTAGAATAGACCCGCTACCATACCTTGGCAAGATCACGATGGCAAATTCCTCTTTATCGTCAGAGATAGTAGGACGATGTATAGCAGATGTGGAAATAGGAGGAAATATCAAAGATGTTACGGTATTAGTAATGAAAGATCTCTGTTCGGACGTTATAATTGGCCACGATATCTTACAACGTCACTCTTCGGTAAACATAGTTTTCAAGGGCCCGTTACCCTCTCTCAAAATCTGTAGTTTGGCGATTGCCAAAGTACGCCCGATTTCGCTCTTCGCCAATTTAGATGTAAATTGTAAACCTATAGCCACTAAATCTAGAAGACACTCTGAAGAAAATAATAAGTTTATTAACCTTGAGATCAAAAGACTGTTGCATGAAGGTGTAATAGAGCCTAGTAACTCTCCATGGCGCGCACAAGTTTTAGTCGTGAGAGAAGAAAATCATAAAGAAAGGATGGTTGTTGACTACTCACAGACGATAAATAAGTTCACAATGTTCGATGCGTATCCTCTCCCGAGGATTGAAGAAATAATCGCTAAGGTCTCGGCGAATGAGGTCTTCAGCATTATAGATCTCGAGAGTGCCTATCATCAACTGCCGATCTTAGATTCCGAAAGAAAATACACCGCCTTCGAAGCAGGTGGAAAACTATCAATTTCTACGTGTTCCGTTCGGAGTGACAAACGGAGTAGCGTGCTTCCAAAGAGTGATAGACCAAATCGTGCAAGACGAAGGACTAGAGGGTACCTTCCCTTATCTGGATAACGTCACGATATGTGGAAAAACCCAACAAGAACATGATCGTAACCTTGAAAAATTTTTGGCGGCAGCTCAAAAGTATAATTTAACATTGAACAAAAGGAAATATAATTTTTCTGCCAGATCCGTCACCTTACTTGGGTATGTAATCTCCAATAAAACGATTAAACTTGATCCCGATCGCCTCCAGCCTTTGCTCAGTCTACCGATTCCTCATGATACTACTTCCCTACGGCGAGTGTTAGGCATGTTCTCACACTATTGCAAGTGGATACCGAGATTTTCAGAGAAAGTGCGTCCACTACTACTCGAGAACCAATTTCCGTTATCGAATGAAGCAATATCAGCGTTTGAGAGTCTGAAGAATGATATAGCCAAAGCAACGATGGCCGCCGTACAAGACGACGTACCTTTTCGAGTAGAGACTGACGCATCTGATTTTGCAATAGCAGCTACACTAAGTCAAGCTGGCAGACCTGTCGCGTTTTTTTCTAGAACCCTTAACAAAACGGAACTACAACACTCATCCATAGAAAAGGAGGCTTATGCGATTGTGGAATCCTTACGCTACTGGAGGCATTACTTAATCGGCCGTTATTTTGAAGTTGTTACAGACCAACGCTCAGTCTCTTTTATGTTTAACCAACAACATTCAAGTAAGGTTAAGAACGAGAAAATTGTAAGATGGCGTTTGGAACTCTCCTCTTTTAAGTTCGATATAATTTATCGCCCGGGAAGTGAGAACGTGTCAGCGGATACTTTTTCTAGAATAAGTGCCTCCATGACCTCAGGTATGAATCTTAATGCTTTACATATCGCGCTCTGTCACCCCGGCGTATCTCGATTATGCCACTGGATTCGTATTAAGAATTTACCATTCTCTGTTGAAGACGTAAAGAGAGTTACAAAAGCTTGTCAGGTCTGCGCAGAACTGAAACCACGTTTTTATAAAACCGAAGGGAAGCTGATAAAGGCTACCTCACCATTTGAGAGACTGAACTTGGATTTCAAAGGCCCTTTACCGACGAAAACTAGGAACCAGTATATTCTAACCGTGGTGGATGAATTTTCAAGATTTCCGTTCGCTATACCATGTAAGGACATCAGTTCAACTACAGTGATACAACATTTGGCTCATCTCTTTTCAATTTTCGGAACTCCTGCATATATACATTTGGATAGAGGCGCCTCGTTCATGTCACAAGAGTTAAAAACGTTCCTGACCTCTCAAGGCGTAGCGACCAGCCGAACGACCCCCTATAACCCAAGAGGAAACGGTCAAGTAGAAAGATATAATGGAATCATATGGAAGACTGTCATGCTAGCATTACGATCCGGCAATACTAAAATAGAACATTGGGAAGAAGTACTGGATACTGCACTACATTCCATCCGATCGCTTCTCTGCACAGCAACAAATTCCACACCGCACGAGAGAATGTTCAATCACCCTAGGAGATCGTTCAATGGCAACTTGATGCCAACCTGGTTGACCAGATCTGGACCAGTTCTAATGAAGAAACATGTTCGCGCAAGCAAACATGATCCATTAGTGGAGGAGGTCGAATTGATAGAAGCGAACCCGGAATATGCGTACGTCAGGCTACAAAACGATCGGGAGACTACAATCTCCACTCGGCATCTTGCTCCTCGAGGAGAAATCTTGACTAAGGATGAAGACAGTGAAATTACTCCCCCTGAACCTCAATCATCGGAACTTCGAGAGAATTTGGTAGAACCGGGCATCACCGATCAACTGCAGTCATCGGAGGATCAAGAAAAGACTCAACGCCCTGCACGTTCAAGACGCCCTCCTTCTTATCTGTCTGATTATGAAACTGGATTCTAAAAGAAAAAGGAGGGGATGAATGTGGTGATTTTAGCATTAGAGGTTATTTGTAGCTGCAAGTTGGTAGGACTGTTTTGACGGTATCGATGAGTCGAGGGCATTTTGTCGATTACTCGGGACTTTGTGGTTAGGTATAAGAATTAATGTACGTTCTGATTTTTGTCTGTTAAAGCGTTTCAATAAAGAGTGATTTTCCAATCGTATCAATGTTCATCATCAACAGTATAATTTTGTTTCTTAATTCTGTAATGTTAGGCATTTTTATTCTTTGAAAATTATATTCAATGTTCTTAATGAGGTTGATGGTGGCTGTCTGGACATTATTTCTAATCACTATTTGATAATAACTGAGGTTTCCTCTCTTTAATGTTTTTGTTGTTTGCGTTCGTGTAGTTTCGAATTGTACTTGACATTATATTGTTTAGATGTATCTCAAAGCTGAGATAGATGGCACGCATTATATTAGCATAACGAATATCATGTAAGTTTATTCTTTGTTTGAACTGTGTAAATTTATCTATTATATTATTTATATTATTTATCTTATTGTAAACTTTCAATTATAATTCGTGAGATTAATAAGAAAATGTTTACGATATAGTGCGTCAGGAAACTCGATGAATTCGTACAATAGCATTGAAAAGGATCCGAAACGGGATCGAAACGTTTGTACAAAAACTTTGGAACAAATAAAAAATTATTACATATTGACACCCTGTGTTTGGCTTCATAAGGCATCAATCTTAATGACAGAAGATTCATCTGTAACGAGCCGATCATAGAATTACGACAAAGATAGTATGATACTTGTCGACTGTGTCGCCTAAAAGGAAAGTAGCCTTTAAATATCGTTACAATTCGCCATAAGATTAATCACAACCACTCCCAGCGGCCAGTGTCTAGGGATTTTTCACTGTTCAAGCGCTGTGAGTGGCTAGTGGTCAATCGCAACGTGGTGAAATAGATGCTACTAATAAAATTAGATTGTTTTTTAATTTGTTTTCAACAATATTATCCTTTTTAATTACAGATGATTTAGATAAAACAAATAGAAATTAAAAATATATTATATGAAGAATTTTTAGATGTACAATCATCTGCATTGGAAGATGAGAGTCAAATAAAGAAAAGAAACCGTAAACGAAATTTGAAATATATATCAAGTAACGAACAAGACAATCATGAAAACGACAATACTAATTTCCATTGACCACCGAAAATTCTTAAAAGGTGAAAATAATTTTCAATAATACCAATTACTGTGGTATGCACTTGTATAATTGATTTAAGTTTACTTATCTTTGCTTGTTTCATTATTAGTGAGTACAAATAAAGTTTTTCATATTCAAAGAGAAGCTTATTATCTTTTTTTTCAGCTATAGTGTTATAAAAGAAATCTGTAACACCTCAATTTACATCATTCCATAAAAAAAGGTAAAAATAAAATAAAATTTGTCAATTATTATAGCATTGTTTTTATGATTTTATTTTTAATATTTTTTTTTAATCTGTTTTATATTAGACTGTTTATCACACAGCAAGTCACGAACTTGGATTCTACCATTTCTTCATGCAGCACTTCTACTAAAACGTTGCAGGCTATAGATTCCTTACATCAAGATATCAATCTGTTGTGTCATTGTGCGAAACCGTACTATCGTCATCATTCAACTGTTCCTATAAATATCAAAACTCAGTCTCATACCTTTATCGGTATTTATTTTAATATTTTGAAAATATTAGGTTTTCTTATTTTCTTTAAAAATATGTTAAAAAATCAACGTAAATGTAAAGAATTTGTTGGACAGCGTCAACAATATCGAAGAGTGTTGAAAACTGTAGACAGTATAAACAATCAATTTGTTGATTACAATAGAACACTTAATATTAATAATTTAACTGATACGTCAAACGTTATATCGTCTAATACTAATGTTACAGTCAATAATAAAATAGGTACTAATGAACATAATCTTGAAAAGATTGTTACCTGTTCAGCCTTACAATATGATAATAATTTTATTAATGCTGTATCTAACTGTAGCGAAACTTCTAACAGTTTCTCGTGTATTGATGTAAATAGTAATATAAGGAGTAGTCAAAACTCATTGTTTGATAAGCAAAATAGTCTTGAAAATGAGCTAGCTAAGTGGGCCATCGAAAGACATATATCGCATTTAGCTTTAACAGATTTGTTGCACATACTTTCACCTTATCATCCTGAATTACCTTTACATTCTCGTACGTTATTGCAAACTGTTACTACTACAGCAATTTACAAGTTGGAAACTGGAGAATTATGTTATTTGGGCTTAACCAGTGCTTTGAAAATTTTATTATCACACAACAAAGAAGCTCTTAAGAATATTTGAAATCTGATGAAGCATTAAAAATTTGTTTTAATATAGATGGCATTCCCTTGTTTAAAAGTAACAAGTTACAACTATGGCCTATTTTAGGACTTATTAAAAACTTTCCTAGTGTTCCGTTCGTTGTACCAGTTTTTTGTGGAACGTCGAAGCCAAAACCTTTAAATATTTTCTTGGAAAATTTTATAGACAAATTAAATGTATTGTTAAAAAATGGATTTAATTTCGATGGAAATATTTTTTAAATAGAAGTCCACAGTTTTGTGTGTGATGCACCTGCTCGTGCTTTCTTAAAATGTACAAAGTTACATTCGGGTTACTCGTCATGCGACAAATGTACAGAACCTGGAAAATATTATAAAAACAAAGTTGTTTTTATGAACGAAACCGCTCAAAAGCGCACAGAATCTTTTAGAAAACAATTAGATGATAACCATCACCATGGACTATCTCCACTTTTAAATTTGTCCATAGATTTAATTGAATCCTTTCCTACGGATTACATGCATAATATTTGCCTAGGAGTAATGAAACTTTTATTACGTTTATGGATTGCAGATTCATTAAGATTTAAACTTACTAATAATCAAGTACAAATTGTCTCACAACGTCTTATAAATTTACAGCAATTTATTCCATTAGAATTTAGTAGAAAGCCTAGATCATTAAACGAATTTTCGTATTGGAAAGCAACAGAGTTTAGAACTTTTCTTATTTATGTCGGTGTATTAGTTTTGAAAAATATCTTACCCAAAGCCTTTTATGAAAATTTTTTACATGTAGCAATTTCTATATTAATATCAAACAAACATATAAATAATTTTGGAATCCCATTTGCACGAAAATGTTTGCTGACTTTTATTAATCATTGTAAAAATGAATTGTACGGTCCAGAATTTGCTGTTTACAATATTCATCTTTTAACACATATATGTAACGATGTAGAAATTTATGGTCCTTTAGATGAATTTTCATCTTTTCCATTTGAAAGTTATCTCAGTCATTTAAAAAAATTAATAAGATCTCCTACTAATTTATTGCAACAAATACATCGACTGCATGAAATAGATTCTGTTTTGTTAAATAAACATAATTTTAAAAATTTTAATAGAAATATATATTTTTTAGATATGTAACATAAAAATGGTCCGTTATTAAATCATAATACCTGTGAGTCGTACAAACAATATAAGAAGATTACTTTTACAAATGTACAATTTTCTATATATTAATTAATATAACAAGGCAAACAGTTATTGTATGCTAAAGGATGATACAAAAGTTGTAGAAATAATATTATAAAAACAAAAGAAGGCGATATATTTCTTATCGGAAAACACTTTATTGAATATTTACTTTTTTATATATATCCGTGTCATTCGTCATTACTCGATATATACGTTGTAAAAGGTAAGTGATTTGAAAATATGGGCTATTAATCCCGTCAGCAACAAATGTATTGTATTACCTTATATTGATGATAATAATAGGTTCGTTTCTATGCCAATCATACATAATTTAAATTAATACATAAGGTATCTAAAGCTTACAATAGCGGAAAATTTGTGTACATTTGTGAAATATAGAATTTAAGTTTAAAATAATTAAATTACTATTATATACTTACTTTTAAGATTATTTTATTACAATAAATAGTAAAGGATACACACACATTTATGTATGCAATTGCATTATAAAATCTTTTAATAAATTGTGGCTGTAAATTATTGTTTTCAATATTTATGTCTTAATTGTTGAGATCTCAACACAAATAGCATGAAGCTGATGGCGTCTGTCATTTTGACGTCAAAGACGTCATTTTGATGTCAACTTGTTACCGAGACACCTAAATTAATTTGCTGCTTGGAAACGTCCTAACATGACGTAAAAATGAGGTCCTTGCAATGACGTCAATAATTTTGTGACATTAGAACGTTATTATGACGTCATTATGATGTCATTAAGACGTTATTTAGTGACGTTAGCCATGGTCAGTAAATGACCAAAATTTGACGTCAAAATGACGTGTGTTTGCTACCTGGGGAAGCACATCTCACTTATACCGATCTCAGTCTTTACGCTTTCCAACACCTTCTGACTCCTCGTGATTGTTCATGTATAACTCCGACATCACCAGCGGACCTGGTTTTCCGGTACCACTTTCCCTTTGCAATATTCACAACAGCACACAAATATATATTATTAAGAACTCAAAAAATTATAATAAAAATAAAACAAGGAAATTAAAAAATTAAAAAAAAACAAATAAAATATAAAAAAGAAAAATGGAACCAGAATACCGCTACGTCCATGTCGTTGATTTCAGGTGTAAGCAGAAAGCGGTATATTTATTAAAATTATATATGTATTAAAATTAGATGAATCAAATATATCTCTTTATATACATATAATCATTGATTACAATAAAAAAATGTTTTTAACACATTATTAAGATTTACTCAACATAAAATTATTAATGACGGTATTTTATTAGTGTACAAAAAAGTTCTGAGCTTTAGATTTCATACAACCGAAATAACAATTTAAATTTTATATATCTTCCCGCCCTTTTGCGGTTTTAAAGCGTTAACATTTGGCCTTCTAAAATGCCATACGGTTTGGCGTTTGATG